GATAGAATCAAAAGATTTATTGAGAGAGATATGCTCAGGAAAATCTGCAATTGGGTTATAAGAATGAGTGGGAATGAGTTTTAAACTACCTATTACACTAGATCTCTAATCTCACTGATAAGCTTTCCTTTTATTCAGAGTAAATCAGTTTTTACATAATATTATTCTTGTCAGAGATTCTCTGCTATTGCACTTTAGACTTTGTTAGTAAATCTTGTCTTATGACAGTGGACTAACACTTAAATTAGACATGAATTAGATTAGGTTTTCATGATATATAGGTTTTAATGTTTTTGAAAAAGAAAATAACCCATACTAGATTTTGGTGGACCATATGAGTCCTCTAGCTAGACAACCTCTAATTTAGGGTTGAATAAAGAAGTAGAAGTACTAGAATATATACATATATACACACACATACATACACATATACATGTACATGTATATATATATGTACTTATATATTTCTATATTTTGTGCATGATTTTCTCAGAATAAGAATTTTAACTTATGCACTTATGGAAGCTGGTTAAACAGTCTCTGTAAGCTGTCACCTTCATATCTGATGATGGATCTTGAGCTCTGCAGGGCAGGCAGTTGGAAAGGGAAGATGGATATTGACAAAGATTCTCCCCATGATCAAACTGTAATTAGGCTCCTCTGAACTTTTTAAAACTAGGTTCTAACTTTTGAACTTGTGTTTGTCTTTGCATTGTCCAATTTTATCAAGAATCTTGCTCAGGCAGTTTAGCCAAAATCTGATCAGTTTCCTAATCTTCCTACATGTTCCCCAGGTGATGTCTGGCTTGCCTTTAACAAGAATTCGGATAGCCAGAATTCTCTCTTACTCCTGATGTTTTCTCTTAAGAATTTTCCATCTACTGATCTCCATTCCCCTGTTCCTTGGCTATAAATTCCCACTTTTCCTTATTTATTGAGAGTTGAGCTTGATCTCTCTTTTCTACTACAAAACCAAGGGTTGAAGATCAAGCATAAAGGCAGAAAAACATTATTTACTCAGCAATGTACCTGATGCTCAATACATTGCAACAAACTAACCAAAGTCTCTGCCCTCATGAAGCTTGCCTTCTTGTGGGGGAGAGAAAGACAATAAAAATACCAAATAAACATGTAACATCAGAGGTAGAAATATGTGCTAAAATAATAAGGCAGGGTGAGGAGGTAGAAAAATGCTAGCAAGGATGTGTTGTTTAGAGAGGGTGGTTTGGGAAGGCCTCTCTGACGGGGTACCATTTAAGAAGACTTGAAGGAAAGGAGAGAGGGAGTGATGCAGGTAGGTATCTGGGAGGAAGAGCCTTCCATGCAGGTGGCACAAAATGTGAAGGCTCATCAGCATTCAGGAGTAAGTAGGGGATTGCAGCAGCCTGCGCTAATTGCTAGGCATCCTGTTAAGCACTTTACATATATTATCTCTTTTAATTCTAAAATTAATTGTTATGGTTAATGTTGCTATGAATATTTTTATGCACATGATTTTTTCCTTCAATTTATTTGAATCATTTCCATATGATACGTTCTCAGGAGTAGAATTTTAAGTTAAGGGATATGAACATTTTTATGGCCCTTGATATTATCACCCAATTGCTTTCTCAAAAGGACTAGACAATTTACATTGCTACCAGTCCTTTACAGTATAGTAAAGAAGTATTGGGTGGCGTGTTTTGTTTTGAATGTCTACAGTCAAAGGGACAGTGTAATATTTCCCCAAAGTAAAGGACAGAAAGAAAGTTTTTGTGCTTACTAATGCCTTCTTTAAGGCAATTAGCTTCTAGGGAACATTTAATCAAAATTTGCAGTATTAAACTCATGCCAGCCTCTCAGAGGTTTCAGGAGAGAGGCAGTACTGAGTACTGCGTTGGGATCAGAATACCTACACTCAAGTTCTGGGTTTGCATCTTATCAGCTGAGTGGCTTTGGGTAAGTCTCTTATCTATGCTGAGACAGTTTGTTCATCTGTAATATGATTTCTACTTGGTAAGGGTACAATGAGAATAAAATGATATAGCATATGTGCAAGCATTTTCTAATATTGGAGCATTCTACATATATTAGCAAATATTATTTATTAGACATTATCTTTTTAACACTTTATTTATTTCTTTTTCTTCAACTTTTAGGTTCAGGGGTACATGTGTGGCATGTGCAGTTTTGTTAAATAGGTAAATGTGTGCGATGGTGTTCTGCTGCACAAAGCATCCCATCACCTAGATATTAAGCCTGGCATCCATTAACATTCATGATGCTCTCCTTTCCTCTTCCCCACTAACACCACCCAGGTCCCAGTGTGTATTGTTCTTCCCAATGTGTCTATATGTTGTTATCATTCAGCTCCCACTTATAAGTCAGAACATGTGGTGTTCGGTTTTCCGTTCCTGCATTAGTTTGCTGGGAATAATGGCTTCCAGCTCCATCCATGTCTCTGCAAAGGACATGCTCTCCTTTTTTATGTCTGTACAGTATTCCATGGTGTATTTGTGCCACATTTTCTTTATCCAGTCTATTATTGATGGGTGTTTAGGTTGATTCCATGTCTTTGCTTTTGTGAATGGTGCTGCAATGAACATATGCATGCATCTTTATAATAGAATGATTTATTTTTAAATTTTTATATGCTTATTTAATTCAGATAAATAGAACTGTTATGAATTTGAGTGTAATGAAGATATGCAAACACTAACAGAAAATTACTAGCCTTGTATTTGTTAGAGCACTCAAATGCTTATGTAACTCTTCAATCCATCTGGCTTTATAAAACCAAAACTTTGAACACAAAAAAGTGGCAGAGTTCACATTAGTTCCTAAGTATGAAATTGCATCAATTTATTATGAATTAAATCTGAAGAACATTACATGTTTAAAAACAGAGTAGAAAAGTGCCTGATTCTTTTTAATTCCACAAATACCTAGCATCCCAAAGGAACATGTAAACAAACTCCTATGCTGCTCAATGAATTCTTCCAATTTTGATAATAAACTAAATAGTATTGAATCTAGCATATGACTTTCATGTGAAAGTTATGGTTTTATCCTTTATTTTGACAATATTACTGATGTAACAGAGAGGGAAAATTTTTCAACTATTGTATTTATTTTAAACAAACTGACATGTTCAAGCCCCTGTCTTCAGAAAAGCCAGTAGCATTTTTTTTTAACTCAAAGATTTGGCCTAAGCCCTTAATACCCTCCTGAACAGCCATGAAACTAACCACCCTCAGGAGATGTAATATAAGGGAGAGAATAACATGGAGCAATTTGCACGATTTCCCCTAGATCCTATTAACAAGGTAAAGCAAATCCAGATATTTATGAATCAATGGCTGTCATATTTAATACACTCTATACAACTAGAGTCACTATCATATTTACTTACATAGACATATACGTATTTTTAATAAAGTCTCTTACTTTCTTCAAAATTTAAGGGTGATCTTTTTCCTGGTCAGTCATTTCAAGGGAACAATTAATAAAGTAGAAAAGCATGAACTGTTCTGCATATTTCTGTGGAAGAACAGAAAACACACTTTGAGAGGTTCAGAAAATTCACTGTACAGAATGAACAGCTAAAATACACTATCTGTGCAATTTTTCTTGACTAGGGTATTTAAATGTAAGAGCTCTTCCAAAATAAGAAGTCACATTCATTCTTGTCTAAATCCCTCTGTCTCTTCTATTGCAAAAAGAAGTGTTTCCTTTAGTTGTTCATAACCCTTATATGGTGGTAGATTCAAGTGATTAAAACACATATGGCTTCTTGATAACCAGGTGTGTTTGCCAGCTTTTTCAATGCAAAACTTTTGAGGCCCCTTACTTCCCATGAGCTCAGCAAATTCTCCTAGAGGTAAACGGCAGGCTCCAGTGAGGAACTGCAATGTTGCTCCTTTGGCTGGCGTGAGATGGTATCTCATTGTGGGTGGTTTTAATCTGCATTTATTTAATGATCACTGATGTTGAGCATTTGTTCGTTTGTTTGTTGGCTGAGTGTTTATCTTTTTTTGAGAAGTATTTGTTCATGTCCTTTGCATACTTTTTAAGTTTTTTTTCTTTTTTGTAAATTTGTTTAAGTTGTTTGTAGATTCTGGATATTAGCGCTTTGTCAGATGGATAGATGGCAAAAATTTTCTCCCATTGTGTAGGTTGCCTGTTCACTCTGATGATAGTTTCTTTTGCTGTGCAGAAGCTCTTTAATTAGATCCCCTTGGTCAATTTTTGCTTTTGTTGCAATTGCTTTTGGGATTTTTGTTATGAAATCTTTGCCTGCACCTTGTTAGGCATTCTCTGTCATTGTCTTATAAACAAATGTGAAGCTCAATGTTTTTATTAACTATTTAGCCAATGTTTTTCTGTGTGGCTTCCCAATATGAAGTCTCTTCTGGAAAGAGAGGTGCACTTTTCTTGGAAAATCACCTCTCCAGGTCCAGGTTTTGTGTGGGAAGCTGATTTAGTGTGGGGCACCAGAGGTGAGCACGTGACCCCTACCTAAACGAATTGGTGTATCACTCTACCCTCTGACTTGCGAGCACGTGACCCCGACCTAAACGAATTGGTGTATCACTCCACCCTCTGACTCCCCCAATTGGTTCGGGGTGGGCCTGTGACAGAATCAGAAGGAATCCTGGGATATTTGCTGGAGCAGTCAGACCATATCCTCCTTCTGCCTGGAGAAGAGGTTGAGAGTCCTGCCACCACCCAGAACAAAAACCCAAGAATGCCACCAAAGCAAAAGTGAGGCCCAGAGACAGGGAGAGAAAGCCCCAGCAAACAGCTTTATCTGAGCCCTTGAATTCAGCTGTGCTCCATTCAGCCTTGGGATTGCCAGTTTCATGAGCCAATTACATTCTTTTTGCTTAATCCAGTTTCCAACAGATATTCTGTAATTTGAAGTTAAAATGGTTTGGAATTGTACATATCTTGTACATTAGTGTAGCACTTTGTGGTTCTCAAAGAGTTTCACCCATTGTGTGCTTACTGGTTCCCCACAGCTTCTCGGTGAGCTGAACGATGATGGAAGGTGCTATTATGCAATTTCAAAGGTGAAACATCTGGAGCAGTGCTGCTGGTTCTGAGTGAGTGTAACACTCAAATTAGACCTGATACTTCTTCTCTGGAGACTTGGGGCAAGTTACCACCTTCTCTGAACCTAAAACTTCTTATCTGAAGGATGGGAAATAATGCAGGAAATGGAGATTTTTCAGTGGGTTAAATGAGACGATGAGTATGAAGTTCTTAGTGTAGAACTTGGCAGGTAGACAGTGAGAAAAGGATAAACTAGTGTTATAATTTTCATAAAATCTCAGAGCTAGTAAATGAGAGTGCTGTGACCAAAGCCCATTGCTTCCCATACCACACAGCACTGCTTCTCCTGTCATGGGCTGTGTACCCAGGAGCACCACAGACTTCAGTGAGGGCCCAACTTAGGAGTTTTGAGAGCTTAGGAATAGCAGAGAAGTGTTTTGATGGCAACTAGGAGCAAGATAGAAACAACATTCACTCTGGAGACATGAGCCTGAAGCTCTTCCAGAGACTCCAACCCCTTTCCAAACTGGCTTTAAGCCATGAATTCTGATTTGCATAAATATTGAAAGGTATTCCTAGAAAACCTATTAAGCAAATCCATGACAAAGATTAACCAGAACATTAAGGCAACATGTGGGAAATGTATTAAATAACTGGATATTTATTTCCATATTGAATAAGCTGGTAAAAAGCATTGGGGCTCTTCCTGAAGTTGCTGATCTCATTTCTCTTTCCTTTAATATTACAGAAATGTTGACATGAAAATTGAGTAGCTGGAACAACAGTCAAATATTTTAAGTGCTTCTTGCCTCACTTGAAGTGGATGAATAATTGCATGATATGTCTATGTATTAGAAGAGACAAGGTGTTTTCATGGGTCTGCTTTCTGCATCTCTGTTTTCTTCTAGTTTTTGTCTGAGTAATGATGATCTGAGTGAAGCACCCACATACCCTCTTGGTAAACATAGTTATTAACTTCCTATTTCCAAGGTAATAAAACACTGTAATACCACCTTTCTTAAGCCCAGATAGAAAATTGTTGTATGTCCCAAACCTGATTGTATGCCACAAATGTATGTGTTTTTAATGTGCTGTATTCAAGCACTTTGATGTGGTGCCATAGCATATAAACAGAAAATGCAGAGATGCAACACTCTTGTGAATCAGATATGCCTAATTTTGTTATTGAGATCATTCATTTTTACTCTGCCACCTTGTTAGTCTAGCAAAATGAGATTAATCTTTGCTAGACTTGGTTGAAGTGTTGCAAAAGTTCAAGATGATATAAATGCAAGTTGAGTGGCTTAATTACTTTTGAGAGGCTACAAAGTTTCTGTTTAGATCAATCACTTTCTAGGGATGCTTCTGGAAACATGACAGGGTATGGAGATTACTCACAATTTTGCTGCTACCAGTTTCATTGCTACCTGACGAAGACATATTAAAAAATTTAAATTTCTTTGCACTTCAGTAATCTGTTTGTATCCAGAGTCAACATTATTTTTCATATTGGTATAATTAACTGGAAACTTTTAAATGAGACTCATTGGAATTCATTCCAAAACCAAAATATTCAGAAACCTATTGTTTATGCTCTGTTTATAGATGATGTCATTTGTGGGGCCTAAATTTAGAAGCAAGGCAGTGATACACAGGGCAACTGCTCTCTGGAGATAGTTTGTGGTTCAAGAGCAGTAACCAAATTATTTTCCATTTCAGAAATTATTTCTTTATTAGCAAAAGGGATGCACAGAGTAACCACCTTTTAAAATACCATCTCTTTGGTGGACAAGGTGTGTTTCACTGAGCCCCAAGAGGCCTGGTTGGAAGCAGAGGTGGGACTGCTAGACCGTGCATCACTGATCTGTGAGCTACACATCAGGGTGGAGGGATGACTGATAGGATCACTGCCTTCTCCTTGGACTCAGGAGTTTGTAGTTCAGTCGCTTTGTTCTCTCCTTACAAAGGAAATTTTATCATAAAGGATGGTTTGTGTACTTGCCCTAAATCCTTTTTGGTTCTTCTTATTTTATGACCACAATGCTTTACTGTAGATTTTCTCCTTGATGCCTTCTCTTTGTCATTTATCATGCTGACAGGTTAATAGAATTGCCGGCCTGGCAGATGGTGCTAGGATGTCCTTTCCCACACAGTTCTAAGGAGCTTTAACCCTATCAGGCAGTCTCTAGACACACTGTTGCAAGACACTCTGCTAACAGTCCTGATGTAACAAAGTAGCAACCTGAAAGAGAGTAAAACCCTACATGTGTCAACCTCTTATCTCAATGCTTCTGGTGAAGTTTATCAAGAAGTTTCTTAGAATTCCTTGGGGGCCAATATGTAGGTGACTCTGTAGGTGTATTTAGTTAAATTCATTAAACTTATAATAGGGGATGAAATGAATTTTCCGTAAGTACCTTAGTAGAGTGTAGTTTATATTCCAGATAATTGAAAGAAAGAACAGGTTTTAACAAGGCAGAATGAATGTGGTAAAAGGTTATAGCCTAATCAATGAAAATAATTAAAGCTACTATTAATAGAGAATTTCCAAATCCCACACAAGGATTGAAGTGCTTTACATACATTATTTGATTTAATTCTCTTGTCAATCTTTTTAGGCAGTAACAATAATCATACACATTTGTTGAGTTTTACTGTATTCCTAGCACTGTGCTAAACACTCTAAGGCATTAGCGTATTTCCTCTTAATGACTTTATCTCTTAAATATCCCTTCAATATCTGTTCACTCCTGTCAATCTCTACTGCCACAACCCTAGGCCAGCCCACCAACAATATTTTAAACGTTTTTTCTTTTGTAAAATATCACAATACAATAAAGAGCCCACATTTTAGGTGCATATTCATATACATCCTTACAAGCACTGCCCAGATCAAGAAGGGAAATGTTTCTAGCATTCTACAGGGTTTCCTCATACTCCATCCCAGTTAATATCCTCCCAGTGGAAACCTATTTTGATCCTTATCACCATCAGTTAGTTTTTCCTGTTCTTGAAATGAGTATAAATGAAATCATAATGTATGTTTCTTGGATCTGGCTTCATAACATTATGTCTATGAGATTCACTCATGTTGTTGCATAGATCAATAGTTTGTTCTTTTTCAGTATTGTGTAATTTTCCATTAAGAAATTTATGGGCCAGGTGCGGTGGCTCACGCCTGTAATCCCAGCACTTTGGGAGGCCGAGGCAGGTGGATCATGAAGTCAAGAGATCGAGACCATCCTGGTCAACATGGTGAAACCCCGTCTCTACTAAAAATACAAAAAAATTAGCTGGGCACGGTGGTGCGTGCCTGTAATCACAGCTACTCAGGACGCTGAGGGAGGAGAATTGCCTGAACCCAGGAGGCAGAGGTTGTGGTGAGCCGAGATCGTGCCATTGCACTCCAGCCTGGGTAACAAGAGCGAAACTCTGTCTCAAAAAAAAAAAAAAAAAAAAGAAATTTATAACAATTATTTATCCACCCACAATTGTTTCCTTTGTAAATTACTGATTAGATTCTTAATCAGCCTACTGGCATCTCCACTTGTCTTCCAATTTTTTCTCCACTTCATAGCCAGAAGTTACTTACTAAGGGAGATGTGCACACTGTATCTGACAAGCACTCGTGTTCTAACCAGTCTGGGCTGCATTTTGGAGTAAAGAGAGTTCAGTTCAACAACTTTAATTTGATACACATTTATTGTGCATCAAAGGCATGACTCCTCCTCTTTAGTAGTACATAGGAAGTTCATAGGAAGAAAATTGTATAAATTATTACCTTCCATCAGTGTGATTGGTTGTATACTTGTAGTAGAATACCAGGTATAGGGGCTCACAAATAACATGAAACCCCCCTTAGAATTCTCTTCTTTGGCTTTGAGTTCATGCTTACTGTGTTAGTCTGTTCTCATATTGCTGTAAAGAACTACCTGAGACTGGGTAATTTATGAAGAAAAGAGGTGTAATTGACTCACATTTCCACAGGCTTAACAGAACGCATGACTGGGAGGCATCAGGAAACTTACAATCATAGCAGAAGGCAAAGGGAAAACAAGCATGTCTTACCATGGTGGAGCAGGAGAGAGGGAGAGAGAAGGGGTAAGTGCCACATACTTTCAAACCATCAGATCTCATGAGAACACATCCACTATCATGAAAAAAGCAAGGGGAAAATCTTCCCCTGTGATCTGGTCACGTCCAACCGGGCCCCTTCTCTAGTTTGACATGAGATTTGGGCATGGACACAAATCCAAATTATATCACTTACTGAGACACCTAATTACTGACTGTCTTCCAAGATACCTGGATATCTGGAATAAGGCCCTAAATAGGAGGCAGAAGCAGGTCAGTCAAGAACATCATTACTAAAACCATAATACATGGAGCTCCTGGGACCACACATTGGTGTTTCAAGGGCTTGGCCAGAAAGAGTCTGTCCTTGAGAACCTGGCCAATTCTGTGTACCTGGACAGGAGTGAGTTTATGCTCTGAAATGCTGAGAACCAGATCCTGAGTGCTATTAGCCCCACCGAGGCAGTATTGCCAAGTGACATTATTTGGGTACCCAGGTAGCCTCCCTTTCTGAGATCTGCAGCTCTGTAACTTCCAACTGTGTACAGCACACTGCCCAAGTAGGCACTCAATGCACACTCTTTGGTTTGACCTGGCAGTGATGCATAAAAGAGGCTTATTTACTTACTTAAAATAGATGTTGAAGTGAAGACAAATTGCCAGCTTCTTAGTTAAATAATAAGGCATTTTTCTTCAGGAGATGATGCCGGGTGAGTTTGTCTATTCCTGAAACTCTCAACTAGCTTTTTTTTTTTTATCAGGTCCTGTGAAGACAGACTCTATGATTGCATTGAGTTTACCAAGTGCAACCATATAAAAAGCTGAAACTACAAATTGGTTTTATTCGTTAATAGTTTTTAATGAGTGAAAGGTTAATTATTCTAAGAATATAAGTAGTTTGGCCTCCAAATTTTGTAAAAATTCAGCAATACATTTTAGAAATTTATTGAAATATTTACAGAGACATGCACAAATATATGGCTCAATAAATTATCGTAAAGAGAACAGGCCAGTGCAAAGTTGAACAGTGATACATACATTACATAGCTTTTTGTTATTTTTATTGCTATGCATTTTTCACTTAATTTATTTACTACAACCAGGTACTAATAAAGGCTGAGTGCCTCTCTTTCAAAGGTTGTCATGTTTACAAGTTTATCATAAAACTTGTGACACCATTTCTTCCCTTGATGGACACTTGAGTTTTCATCTTTTTGCCATTTAATAGTGCTGCAAAGGGACATTTTGTTCAATTGTGTTCATTCTTTCTTTTGAGCTATTTTCTTGGAACATGAAATTATCAGTTCCAAAAGTCATGAGCTGTCTCAACGTTCTTTTTACTCAATTTCATATAGTGCTTGTTATAATACCATTGTATAGTACCTTGAGTAATACTTACATAAACCTGTACACTAATGCTAAACATAGAGTTTTTATGTTGCATTTATTTTAGCTTGTTTAATAGGAGTATAATTGTATAAAGAACTTGATGTGGTCTATCTCCGTTTGCTATCTTCTATGAATTGACCAATGTAACTTTGGTAAATTAATGCAGTGACATGGTCTAACAGTACTCAGGTTGTAGGTATATGATACAGTGTTCAGTTACCTGAATTTAAAATTAAACCAAAATACTTTTGAATTTCAATGAAAAGTACAAATAATCCAAGCAATTAGTTTGGTTTGGGATGGGGTTTGAATTGTGATATACTTAAATTGAAATACACTCAGAACCTATTTTGAGGGGTTAGTTTATTTTGTTGCCATGGAGAAAAGGATCCTGTTAGATTGAAAACTCCAGGTAGCTCTTTAAAGAGCAGAGAGGCACCTAAAAAGCAAGTTTGTTGAGATTGAAACTTTAAAACTTGATGTTCCTCTCTTGCTGATGTGGCAATTAATGTCCTGTGGTCCAGGGCATGAGTTACAAAGCAGGTGTTTGGACATAGAGAGCTTGAACTGAGTTGCCCACATGTTGTCTTGACTAATTTTACAGAGCAGATCAAGCTTCTAAAATAAGTTCAATGGTTTCTCGGGAGGCAATGTGATGTAATGGTAGAGAGCATAGGCTTTGGAGACTGAGAACTGGATTTGAATCCTGCCTTTTTCAGTTACCAGTTAATGTGACCTTCGAGAAGATTCTTAGCCTCTTTAAGCCTTAAAATACACTATGAAAAATGGGAACCAAATCTACTCAAATAACAATTGTCAAGTTAAAAAGAGACAATGTATGTAACTCCTGACAGATAACACATGCTTAATGTTTGATACCTATTGTTACTTCTCCATGGATAAATATATCGACCCACAGCTTCATGAAGACAGTGAGGGCTAGCCAAAAGGGGGCACTAGATGGGGATTTGCTGCTTCTATGTCTTTCTAAGGTGGCCTTGGTAGAGGCAACAAACCTTAGTTTTTTCTCCCTGTTTTCTTTCCACAGAGCTTCTAGAAAGTTTCCATAAGCAGGTGGCAGGGATCTAAGCTGGGATTCCCAACTGATAAAAAAAATTTAGAGCCATAACTATTT